CATTGTAATAAGGCATCATTCTCTTATTGATTATGAGATAATTAGGATGCTGATAAATGTATAGTACCTGTCTTAAACTACAAACAGAATAAACATGAATTAAGCTGGTACACTGATGCTGAACCATGCTATTTATGAGCTTAGGATCATAGAGATAATCATGTGTAAAGTACTTTAAAGGAGCAATCATTTCATGTTACAATCTTATAATGCATTTGCCTATGAGAAAGCCTGTCTATATTGGGAAATATTAAGATAAGCAATTAAGCAGAGGGAGAGAGAGAAGCTAGCCAAAGCCCATAGTGTTTTCATGACAGAAGTAAAGTCTGCACTGGTGAGACTTAACTAACTCACTGTCTTAGCTACTAGGTCAGAAAAGGTCTCTGTTTATTAGACTAATTGTTCAGTATAGGTATCCGTAAATCCTACATAGTGTAATGCTAAAGTCCTTAGGAAGCACCTTTTCCAATATGCTCTTCTGTTTGCGTAGAAGACCACTGTGTTAGGAACTATGCCATCAGAGTTTTGCTACTGAACTAGATAAATTATTCCCGAAGCCCCCACACTTCAGAAAATATACAGAAACCCCTCAATCAACAATTAGCAAATAGTAATCCATATGGCAATTAGTCAGTATACACTGTGTATCATTTTCATTGGGATTGTGATAAAAAAAAATGATTAAATGTCACTTGTATACCTGCTGTGGTCCTGATGAAAATCAGGGGTCCTCCACACCAAGGTTTAAAAAACAATAATAAATCCCAAATGGTATACATAATTGTAATATGTGGTTTCATCTTCCAATTATAGGACAGCCAGTACTTAGGAAGCATTAAGACAGACTTCAGTTTAAAAAAAATAGAACTTGCTGACTGTTCTGAGAGCCTCAAAATCTGGTTTCATCTTAAATAAAAATTAAACTTGTTTTCCAATCCCTGTGAACTTTAGTTATATAGCTTGAAAAAATTCTATCTAAGGAGTCTAGCCTATGAATACTCATGCTGAAAACAAGTTACTAGTTCGTAAAGTTCATCAAGCCCCTGCTTTTTGAAAGATGTCATTATTTTTTCATTCCTACAATGGTGAAGGGATTTAAATAAACACCTTTTTCACTTCCCCCATATTTTGGGTTTTGTACCATAAATGTAATATTTAACCTCTTAGTAAAAATTAGAAAATGATGTGCAGTAGTATAAAAGGCCAGTCTGAAAATTTTGTAAGGGAAGAAAGGCAACAACCAGAAAGGGAATTATGATCGAACATTTAAATTCCATGTATTTGTTAACCTTGACTCCTGCCCAAACTTCAGCTTTCCCTCACCTGATGTTTCTGGGAACCTTAGCTGGAGAAGTCATTGAGGAAGAACAGCAGGAGGGGGATTGTTAAATGCACAGAAACCTCACTTTCCCACTGTTTCTCTCTTTAAAATTGCTTCAGCTGCTTTAAAAGTATAATTGCACTCCAAGTTGAGAATTTACCTAGAAACATCAAGTGCCATTCTAGACATGATTTAGTAATGTGGTAAAATACAGCTGCATAGAACACACATCTAAACATTATTTTAGATCTATGTCAAAGCTAAGCTTATTCTTTTACAGAAAGGATCAATGACACTCTTCAAAATCTTTTTTTTTTTTTGTGGTAAACTTTTACACGTTATATGTAAGAAGAAAAATATGATCAATTCACTTAAGCTGATTTGCTAGACTAAACAAAGTTAAGCAGAAGTCTTGCACTTTAAAGTGTTTGTTGATCACATCTGTAATGGGAGTGATCACATTCTTGAAGGTGAGTACAGTGGAGTTCTCCAAATGTTTTCCCTGTGAGCCTATGATTACAATACATATATACTATATCAGATTTATCCAGTATAAAATACACCTTTTGCATCTTTTGTTTCCAACAATAGAAACCTTTTTTCAGCTGTCAATTCTTACTGAGATAGCCCCCACGCAGCAAAGTCCTGCAGTTTTAAACAAACAATGAGGCAGTGGGCCAATTATCATATGTGCATATGGATTTGCATTATAATTTTTAAAACATTACATAGCAAGGGTTATATGATCAGTTTTGATGCTGCAGTGCAGATGGAGAGAGTTAACATATTCCAAATGTAGTCCTGAGGACACTCCCCTGCAAGCTGTTTGGTATGAGAAGGAAGCTTTTTTCCTGTGTCAAATAGAAGTTGGTGGGGGGGCTTACTGGGGACATATTGAAATCATAACTGGGGGAGAATTATTTTAAAACTGCACTGAGGATCCCATTCTGATCTCTTTCCCACAAACACACCCACCCCTGCTATTTAACATTTTAAACTGTGCCTCATTTTAACATCACCTATAAGTTGGCCCTTTCTTAGTCAACTTTTTAAAGCACAGATTTGTATTGTAACATATGTAATTTGGCCCAAAGTGAAAAGATAGGTTGATTATTTTTGCAATGTATAGTCTGACCTGGGCAGCCTTCATTTCTGAACTATCTTCACTTTGTATTAAACTATAAGATAAATTGGAGGCAGGAAAGAAGGACTAGGAGTGCTCCATTATGAAGTAACCACCCCCACTATGTTTTATGTCCCAGTTCAACAACCCACAGTTCATGATTCACAAGTAAATATTCTCATTTTTCCTAGTGTGTGAGGGACTGTACAAAGCAGAAAGTTAGAGGCAAGGTTGTAATCAAGAACCAGTTTATACGTTGTTTCTGGGTTCTCATACATCAGACTAGAAGAAGGAATTTATCATGATCCATCTAGCTGAGTACTGTCTTTCAGTTCAAGTAGAGGGGGTCCTCAGATTTGCTTGCTACCTGAGAACACATAACTGGAAATACAAAGCTTGTCGTTGTGCAGAGTTTTAGACCTTCCCCCTTCCTTGGTCAGAAAAATTGATTTCCCTTTTAAGAATCAAAGAATTAGACTGCTTACATAATCCTTTATGTAGTAATAAAAGGCACAGCTCAAGGGCACAAAGACAAGCAATTTAATTATTACACAAATGCTTTTGTTAATGTCACCATACAATGGTGTACAAAAAAACTCAATTACGAAGAGTGGGAGCATGCATCAAAGGGTGGATGAAGATGGATTCCAATGAAATTTAACTGGCAATTTGCCACTTGATATTCTCCTGGTTGACCAGCATGAAGAGCAACCACTTTCCCTCTCCTCGGTTCTCAAGTGCATTGCAGAGGCAACTTTGTCCCAGGCATGAGAGATCATCCCCCCGACACACACATACACATACATATGTTTTCTGGAACTTGCAGGCACATTGGGAATGCAGGGATTTATCTCTCAATTAGTGCTAGACTGTGGAGCAAGTCAAAGGCAAATTAAACTCTTTATGGTCCTGACTTTATGCTTATACCCAGCATGAAATAATGTTTTGTACTAGGTGTGGGAAGTTGAAGAAAGTGAGAAAGTTGTGCTTATGGCCTGTAATCAAAGTACAGCACAGGTGAGAAACATCCCCCTCCCTTCAAATGGAGTAGGGTCAGTGGTGACCAATAAATGGCTGGCTCCCAAACTGCAGTGGAATTTGCAAACATTTCACCATGGGCTGTGGGGAAGGGTAAAAATTTAAGAAAGTTTACATCAGGATGATTCTAAGGCCAGCCTTTTGCATTTTTAACATGAGAAACACACCTCAGTATTAATGTCTTACTCAGTTTCATACAGTGAACCATAATTGTCAATGTGCATGGTGGTTCTTGTTATTTATCATGTATGGGAAAGCCAGCTGCTCCCTTACGTGGACTGCTGTCATTACACAGGCGTATTCATAATAAACATGCACCAGAAAAAAATTGTGGAAATGAAAAATTGCTGGAGGTGAGCAAAACGAAATGATCTTGCCATGACCTTGTGGCCTATAGATGTGTTAGGCAATGGATTGGATTGCCTTCCTTGTCATCTGCACCCAGATTGAGGAAGAGTTCTGTTTTTCTAGTAAAGTCTTTTTTCTTTTTTTCTAGTAAAATCCAAACTGGTAAAGAATTCTAGGCTCACTTTCACTGCAAACCATTATGGTCTCCCAAAGTTTTCCCAGCCATTCTCCTGCCTCCAACCCTCAGCACATGCACCCTTTTCTATTTCAATCAGTAGAAGCACTGGGAACAGCTGAAGTGATAGGAAACACGAAGATAGGAGCAGAGGATGCTTTGCCCTTTCTTCCCTCTGTTGCCCCTGCACTTGGCATCACAGCATAGCATGCAAAGCCTGTAATATAGTTCTCCCGAGAGTTGCCTCACTAGCATTTCTTACATTTCCCTTGGCCTTGCACTATGCTTCTCCATCATGCAGAGGAGTGAAGGAGGAGGAAAAGTGAAAAAGCACTGTTGGATCAGACCATAGGCCCTGCATTATAAGTTATACTCAAATAGATGTTTAGGAGAAACCCAAAAGAAGGATGAAAGGCTAATGGGCTTGTCCTGCTTTTCTTTCCTGGGCCCTGAATTGTGGGCCAGCTTGCCTATTTCTGTTAAATGTAAAAGCTACTTGGTGAAACAGGTAATTTGCTTGTATACATTTAAGATACTGGATGTTATATTCATGAGAACTGGTGATGCAGACACTTCAATCACAGCTACCTAGTCTATGTAGAGAACTATATATTCTATGCTGAATTCAGATCAGTTCACAGGAAAGTATAGTTGTTCTTTATGATTACCTGCGTAGCATGCAGGCTGGGTTTGCAGCAGGGCCATATGGTTTGTGAGAACCAGTAGTTCTTTAGCTGCCACAATGTCAGTCCTAGCGGCAGTTCTGAAGAGTGGTGCTGCCATTTTACAGTTTGCTGTGGTTTGCATATGCAACATTGCATGGTGGCAGGAGTTCACATCAATACTACTTTACCACCAGTGCCCTTTGCACTGTGGAAGTCCTCTGATTGTTCTATTTTCTCCTTAGCACAATTGAGTAAGTAGGGCCATCACCAAATTAAAGAAATCCTATTAAATGTATAAATACATGTGATACAATCTGAATGAATGTAGAATGACCCAGTAATTTTGAAGAGAAGGCCATTTCTTAATTTCTAGATGATGCATACCCATTGCAGTAACTTCTACCATAGAAGAGGAAGAAAGAAGGAAAAATGCTTATATAATGGTACATGTTTCAATTAATATAATGCATTTTAAATGTGCTGCCTAGTTAATCAGGGGCAGTTTTTTAATTGATCAAAAGGTTTTAATCAATTAGATTAATTGAAATAATGTTGTAGCAGTGTAGTTAGGCTGTTTTCCCAACTGCAACAGTGGCTTGCAGGCAGAGGCTGAGGGAAAGAGAAATGGGCAAAACGTTATATCTTTTAAGCAAACATCAATTTCAGCTAAATAAATAAGACTTTACATTTATTCTCTTCTTTTATGAACTTGCATGCTACTATTCAATACATAATGTCCATGGTGATTTTAAGGCAAAGCACTCATAAAAATAGAAGCAAATCACTAACAATAAAACAGAATACAACCAACAATACAAATATCAATATATTTTAATAGTCCTGTGATGTTTGTAACATCTTGAGAAATAAGGCATTTGCCTGCTGCCAGAAGGATATTAGGATGGGGCTATGCAAACCTCCCTGGGAAGGAAAATCCATAAATTGGGCTCCATCAAGAAACCTCTTTTCACGCTTTTCACAGTTACCAGCCACCTCATCTCACATGGTGAGAGTACCTGGAGAACGGCCTTCACAGATTATCTTCATGCATGAGTAGGTTGTGGTACAAGCAGACATTCCTTAGTTAACCAAAAGTTGTGCAGGGACTGGCACCTTGAATTGAAAATGAAATAGACTGGAACCTTGAGTTGTGCTCAGATATAGGCTGGAAGTTAGCATAGCTCCTTAAGCAGTAGCAAACTATGTTTCCAGAGACCGTTCCCAACATAAACCTAGAGAGTACCAACATCTGGCAAGCTGTGGCCAGGCTATCTCTGCCCAGGAGGGGTTGCAGTCATGCCACCAACCTCAGCTGGCAAAGATTGACCTGTGCCACTGATGCCATCGGTGTATATATGAGCACTCAAACTATTGACCTTTAGTGCTGGGATGGACAACTTGTAGCCTTCCAAATGTTTTGGCCTATGATTCCTATGATCCTCATTGTTAATGACTAGGAATGTGTGCATTGCAGGACAAAACATCAGAGAACCACCTCTGCTTTATCAGGAGTGCAGTTTCATCCAGAAAAGGTTGAACACCAGCAGGGTAGATTTGATTTAAATCAAATCCGTTTAAATCATGATTTAAATCACTAATCAGTCTAAATTTAAATCATGGTTTTCTACATAATTTGCACACATGCCTTACCCGTAGGTAGAGGAACTTCATTAAAATAGTCCCAGACTTGGGTCTCTTTTACAGCCTGCTCCATTATAGGTTTTCTCCAGGAAAAGAATAATATGATAACTTCAGGCTATATGCAAAAAGATCCAAAGCCCTGTGGAGTATTCTGCTCAAAAGGTTTCACTTTCATTTGTACTGCTTGCCCCTCTGTCCTCACACTTAGCTTCTTGTGCAGGTCTGTCCCACTCCCAATAATCTTATTCTGTTCATTGAATTTTTGGAAACTTAGTACTTAGGAAGTAAGGGTACATAGATTTGCAAAAGAACAATTGGATTAAGGTGTTTTTCTCAACTCTATCTTCGTTGTATAACATTTCTGCTGTGAAGAAGAGGCATGTGATCCCTGCAGGCACAAATTCATACTTTTGAAAACTGAAACCAAGCATCTGTGATAATATCTTGTAGATAGAAAAGCTGCCCAATAATCTTCCAGAAACTTCTAGAAGAGCATGACATTGTGAATGGATTAATGGAATTCATTTACTGAAACATTTAAACATTGCATGAATATGCAACCTCATGATACATAATTAAAAACTAATACTTATTTTATGATGAATAACTTTTGCACTATAATGTATCTTAAATAGGAAACTTTCAATTGAGTTTTTTTTTAATCTTTAAAAAATCCAATTTAAATTAACATCCAACTGTTTTATTTTTTATAAACACCAGCTCCTGAACAGACAAGATGCCCACCAAGCACTGATTTGCCAGGACTAAGCTTGCTTTATTGGCTTTATCAAGTCTGTTTCTGACTTGAAGCACTAATTTAGGGTTTTTACCATCTCAGTTGAACCATATGTAAAAGGGAGAAAGAGGTGAGTGTGTGTTTCTTGGAGGCCACAGGACTGTCTGCTTGCTGCATCAAATGGGAGTCATGTAGCAGACAGCATACTGCCAGGATAAGCATTTAAATGAACAGCCAGGGTCTCTAAGCGAAGAGGAATTGCTCAGCCTGAATACACTCTTTGCAGTTACAGATTCTGCATAGCATAGGATCTGAAAGAGAGCACCCCCTGTTTTGTAGTTGATGCTTTTCACATATTTGCATGTAAAAGACAAGAGTTAGTTTCTTCTGCACTTGACAATACCTCCAATTTTATAACTTGTCCCCAAATTGGTTATCCAATATCACCCAAACTAGGAATTCAGTTGGATGCAGATCTATGTTGGCTCAACTGCACTGATGAACGAAGACTTCACCACTCTCTCCTTCCCATGGTACCCCCTCAGGGCTCCAGAAAATGCCACACAAACTTGTGTGAGTGTGGGGTGAGTGGAACCAAGAAAAACTGAGGAGAGGGATCTTTTGCGAGCAGAGTCTGCCCTTTCGGAGAAAGCTGATCCTAGCCCAACCCTGTTGTGTGTATTTACTAGTACAGTGGTACCTCGGCTCATGAACGCCTCAGTTCACGAGCAAATCAGGTCGCAAACTCTGCATTGGGTGGCGACCGCGATGGCAACCATCTCCCCCACCCCTGAGTGGGGAGATGACCACGATCATGCGTGGGGGGGAGATGGCTGAGATTGCGCCCATCTTTCCAGCAGGAGCGCACCCATGATTGCACCCGTCTTTCCTGCAGGAGCGCACCCATGATTGCGCCCGTCTTTCCTGCAGGAGCGCAACTGCGATCTTGGCCATCTCTTCCCCCCACCGCCAGCATGATCACGGCCGTCTCTCCCTCCCCCAGTGCACCGGGATGATGGGCACAATCCCGGACTTGCTGGCAGGGCGGGGAGATGGCCACGCTTGCGCTTGGGTGGGGTGAGATGGCCGTGATCTTTGTTGTTCTTTGTCACTTTGCTTCACGTTTTTCTGATTTAAAAAAATAGTTACAGAATGGATTAACCTTATTTACAATGAAATTTATGGGGAAATTTAACTTGGATAAAGACCAGTTTGGGTCATGACCAGAGTCCTGGAACGGATTAAGTTCGTGAGCCAAGGAACCACTGTATACTCTTGTTGAAGAAAAAGGACTTGGATTGTGTCGTGAAGGCATTAAAGCTGTAGAACAGATATTTCAAATAAAAATATATTTCAAATTTGAAATATATTTCAAATAAAGGGACTAGGATTGAGCCAAGATTGTAATTATATACTTTATCCGTGGATCATAAAAATGGTTTCCAGGATTAACAGTTTTGGAGGTGAATAAGCAGGTCACTTGATTCTTTTACATCTTTTGGAGGAGCTGATGCAATTAGAATTAGATTAATCAAGCTGGTATTGCCTGTTGTTGCTCTTTGTGCTGCAACAAGTTTTCAGTTCTTTTCTATTTCTGACTTTGTTGCATTTAGCTGTACATTGCCAAAGCTATAATTTAGATGAATTGCTCTGGTCTCACAAAATATTTAGATAGGTTTGCAACAGTTATTCAAGCAAACTTGTTTCATTACATTTGAGTACCTGCAACAACAAAAATGACAAATGGTTTTAGTAGGTATTTAAGGTGTGGATACACATAGAAATATCCAGGTGCTGTTGCCTTGGAATTTGCTGATATGCTAGCAAAGGCTCCTTGCCAAGAGAGCGTTTATTTCACATACGTGGTGTATGTGCCAGACTAGCATAAATGCTGCTGCCTAACAGAGTATATTTTTCCAGAGTTTTCCCACACTCAGAGCGCATCCAGAAAATCTTGAAGTGCACTCTAGCCCTGCAACCTCTACTATACCAAAGGCTATTCAAGAACCTTTTCTTATGGAAGGCCTAGCCAACACATCTATAACACTGACCATGCCAGTGTGGCTACTGCAGATGTAGTGTTACATAATGAAGGGGGCAAACAACCTACAAACTGGTTTTGTTAGGAATGTCTGTCAACCAACAAAGGGTCCTGCATTCGGTAACCCCACAAAAACAGTGCTGGCAAGCTAGCCAGTGTTGTCACTAGTGATGAGTTCTAAGCGTCACTTATTACAGCTATAATGTCCATGATACCAGCTCAGTTTTAAGGCAGTTGTTTGACTAATTTTCTATAAAATGATTTGTGGACATCACCAGGCCCACCATTGATACAGAGAGGATCCATCACAAACATTTTGCTTGAGTACTAGCCTACCACAGGTCATGATAAATGTTAGAAGAAACAGTTCATTTGTCAAAATGATACACACGTCATTCACCCCAAACTTTCAGATAAATGGTGGGTTCGCATGACAAAATAACCTGTCCTGCCCACAAGCCATGTAGCATGGGTTCTTTCACTGTTGGTTGTGCCCCACATATTGCCCCCAATCCTCCAGCCAGTATCCCATGGAACTTGGTGTTTGAAGCCCAAAGTATGGGCCCAATTTAAGGTGTTGAGGATGACTTATAAAGCCCTAAACAGTTTTTGACCTGGGTATCTGAAGGAACGTGTCCTTCCATATATAACTGCCCACCCTGTAAGATCTTAGTTGGAGGCCCTTCTTCAAGAACCCTCTTTGAAGATCAGGAGAGTGGCTACCCAAAGAAGGGCCTTCTCTGCAGTGACACCCTAGCTTTGGAACCTGCTCCCCAGGGAGCTGAACATGGCACCAACACTTTTTCATTTTGGCACCAGGCCAACCCCTTTTTATTTTCTTAATATTTTAAGATCTGGCATTGTTTTTAAAATTGGTTTTTATTTGTTATTTGATTGATGCTGTGCCTTATTCTTGTATCACCATCATGAGATCCTAGTGAAGGACAGGATAGAAACGCTTTTAATTAATTAATTGTCAATTTAAAAAAGCACTCATGGACCAACCATGAGTTTGATGTCATGCC